TGCTAGTTGCAAAATTTGTGGTGGTGACCATGAGGCACGTGGCGTGCAGTGAAGGGGGCGGACGCCAGCGTGCGATCCACCGGGTGATTTATAACGTTTTCGAAATAAAAAACATGTATAGTTTCTGCCAAAGGAAAAAAAAAGCAAACAAGAGTTAACTACCGATTCGTGTTGTGAGCGGAGGCGGAAGGAAAGCGAACGATGGGGGTTGTTCGGTGCGCTGTGAGGAGGCTCGGTGGCTCCCTGCTCCAGGGAACGCAGGCGGCGGTCGCGGGGGAGGGACGCCGGCTCGTGCCAAGCAGGTTCATGCGCCCCCGCCAGCTCTTCGGCGAGGTCTCCAGCGAGGTATCTTAACCAAAATTGGCATCTTTAATTTTTCTAATAATTTATATGTACCTCTCACGACATCAAGGATTACTTAACCTGACCTGAACCTGTACATCCTGACGTACTGCTGCTTATCATTTAAGCATCTTATTTTCCTGGTTGATCTGAGAATGACTTTTTACTCGTCCCTGCTGGCCTGCTCCAGCGATCGCAGGCGGCGGAGCGACTCCTCCTCGAGCCAGGCTGGCTCATGCGCTACCGCCAGCACGCCAGCGAGGTACCTAAACCCAAATTGACATCTTTTATCTCATGATTTATCTGTCGAAATCATCCGATAATTTAATTCAGTGCAATGGAAACAACAACATGCTTTTTAATCCCACTTGAAGCTGTACTGCTGTACTAACAACAGGACTGGATGCAAATAATACCATTAGTTAAGCAACCTTTTTTCCCTGGTTGATCAGAGCATTATGACCTTTTGCTCATCCCTTTAGCAAATACTTAGTTCCAACTCATCTTCTGCTTGATGCATGCTAGTACAGTATGATTATGTGACTTCGTTTATCCATATACGGCAAGTATGATCCTGTGCCTAGTTGATACACATGCACCATGCATTCTGTACATATCGAACTGACAGACAAGACAATACCCTTCTTAATTATTTACCAGTTGCAGTCAGTGCTTACTTCATGATTGATGATGCAAAGTAAGTACAGTGACCATTATCTATGTGTATTAATCTAGATCCCCAAGAAGAAGAAGCTGTCTGCCTTGGAATCTGAGTTCCAGTGGACACTGAAGACGCTTAATGCCTTGTGTGATAGGTTGGAGGAGCTTCAAAAGGAAACAGCACCAGATGCCTTTGAGTTGTACGTACAATATGCAAGATGCATGCAGATACTATACTTTATTGATTCCTTCCTTAATTTCCTTTTTATTTGTTTTCTCGACAGATACATATATCTTATTTGACCTACCTCTCTCTACCTGCAGGGGTGTGAAGGCCTATGGAAATGCGTTTAAGGCTGTGGTCGGTGGAGCTGCCAGGGCGTTGTTTTGCTTCAGTCTGATTACTTCTCTTATTTTTGGTGGCAACGAGGTGGATGACCAGGCTGCTATCAAGGAAAACCAGTGAAGAAAAGATTAAAAAAAAAGTAGAACCAATGATGGCCTCCGCAGTTTGGCTAGCTAGCACTGTGCTATCTGATTTTTTGTTCAGGTAATTGTTGACGCACTGTTCACTGATGTCGTAGTGTAGAGATGGACAGTCGATAAAGAATTATTCCCACCGGTTACTGTTCTTGCAAATATACTGTCCCGGTCTACTGTTTTGTGCGTCGGCAGCAACATCACAGAAATGAATCGGGAGGCGATCGTGATGGCTCTGTATCAGTATGCCGACGGAGAGAAATGATGTGTTAAAGAAAACCTAAATCATAATCCTTTATATAAGGACGTGGGGGTGAAGGAGGGGGAGAGAAATGATGTGTAAAAGAAATCCCAGTTTTTAATAGTATGCGCATTTTTTCTACGGAAGCACTATTCACGCAGAGGGCAATGTTTAATAGTATGTACATATGGATTCCTCTGCGTATGAATATTACTATAAAAAATAAGTTACTATTACCTCTGTTCCTAAATATATGTTCGTTTAAAGATTTCACTATGGACTATATACGGAGCAAAAAGAGTGAATCTACACTCTAAATACTCCCTCCATTCTCAAATATAAGTGTTTTCTAGAGATTCCAATAAGTGACTATATACGGAACAAAATTATTGAATCTACACTCTAAAATATGTCTACATACATCCGTATGTTGTAGTCCATTTGAAATATCTAAAAAGACTTATATTTAGGAACGGAGAGAGCATATATATAGTTTACATCAAAGGAAAAAGACTTGTATTTAGGAACGGAGGTAATAGTAACTTATATTTTTATTATTGATTGGTTTAAAATATGGGAAAAACTTATCTTTTGCCAGCCGATCTAGCGCCCACGTCCACCGGCTCAGTGTCTGTCGGATCGTCTTTTGATCCAACGGCCGATAGCACCCCACACCCATGCGCACGGGTCTGCAGCTCAGCTGCCGTTTCAGAAACGTTTTCTGCAACTGAGAGTGTGTTTGAAAGCTCTGTGGTGATTAGAGCCAGCAGCGGAGAGGCGGAGTACCGTGCGGCTGGGACAGTGGCGGCGGCTGGGTGGTAGACGGCGGCCAGGGCCGGCCCTATATTTCGGGAGGCCATGGGCGAACTGGAAGATATGGGCCCCTAAGTCAAAGAACCCTTCGATGGTTGAATTTTCATATCACTTTATTTATTTCTTCTCCTTTTTTCCAGCACCCACAAATGCTTCGAGCAACATGGCAAGCTAATGCCCTAACATTAGGGAAATGATTGTCCTCAGCCAGCTGATAATCACAATGCGTCCGCCGCCTTCGTAGCCTGCCACGCATCCTCAACATGATGGCAAGTGCAGACACCTGTTTCAACAACAACAACGGTGTTGTTGCAAATCTTGGTGGTTAACGACTACTGTGACGCGACGCGGCTTCGTTTTGTAGAAATAGTCCTGCAAAAGTAGTCTGCTGGAAAAAAATCCGCAACAAGACGGTTGTTGTAAAAAAAACTGCAACAAGACATATATTGTAAAAAAAATTGCAACAAGATGTCTGTTGCAAGAAATTTTCACAACAAGGCATGTGTTAAAATGGTGGACGGTAACTCTATGGGTCAAATCTAACGGCTCACGGCCTGGCTGATTTTTTATGTTCCCTAAAATTATGAAATAAGGAGTATACAAAATATAAGAAATGTATAGATTGGATGATCGGAACCCTAGTCATGTATACATAATGACAAAAAAATAGGATGGTTGAATAGATACGGTCAAAGATTGAATTAGAATTCTAAAAAAAAAGATTGAATTAGAAAATTATGCATAGAAAATGTGAAACTTCATGGGATGAATCATTGATGAATAGTTGAATAGACGTACTAAAAAACTACTGAAAATCTGAAATTGATGGATGGATGAATGGACCAGGAACATGGATATTGGATACTACTGGAAAAGATCGGCCGTCACACGTATTGCCGTATTGCGAGAAGGCCTAGTTGCCGGAATAGCGGACTGCTGCGCGCAGCGACAACAACAAGCGGCCGATGCGTCGAGCGAGGAGCGACGGTCCAATGAGACGGCGAAGACGAACCGATGAGCGACGAACAGGAAAAACCAGATCTTTCCATCGATTTGTTTCACACGTATGCATTTCAATCGCCGTCCTGTGCGGCCGTGACTTGCGTGCGCCGATGCTTCGCTACCTGGCCGATCCCATCTCGTTATATTTCTCTCATAATTTTTTTCCTAGCATATTTTTTCTGAGCTATACTATATATATGTGTCCTACGTCATGGGCCCCCGCCCTGGCCTGGGCCCTCGGGCGCCCCCCCTCTGGCCATACCCCAGGGCCGGCCCTGACGGCGGCTAGGCGACCGCGGCAGACAAGCCGCGCTGGACGAGGACGACGTGATCTGAGGTCGATGACGGCTGCACAAGCAGCAGGTGTGCATCCTTTCCCCACTAGATCCACAGATTTTTTCCCCCATTCCTGCAGGGGCCAAATTAAGGGAGGGATGTGATGGTGGGCGGTGGTGATGGTCCCCTGTCACGTTGGTGGGCGGTGGTGGTGGTGCCCCGTCGCGGTGGCGGTGGTGGTTTCCAAAAAAAGAATACAATACTGGCGCACTATCTGTCTGGTGCGCCATTACTAGTTAGAATTAGTAATTGCGCACTTCGCCCGGATGCGCCATTAGTATGTATGGAAAAATGGAAAAAATAATAATTTATTACTAGTGGCGCACTGTGTGTCTGGTGCGTCATTAGTGTCTTCCACACTAATGGCGCATCATCAAATGGTGCGCCATTAGTATATAGTAGTGGCGCACCACCTGACAGGTGCGCCATTAGTGCCCATCCCATCTATAGCCCTTTTCCTAGTAGTGCCCGTCGTGTTGGTGTGCTCCCCGATAGCGGCGCGCTTCTACAACAGCAGGGGCAGTGGTACTACTGCTCTGTTGTGGTTGGCAGCGGCGCGCTCGACGCAGGCAACGGCGACGATGCTTTTGCACACTTTTTTCATTTGCAAAATTTTCCGCAATGTTACCTATGTTGCAAAACTTCTTTCACAACATCATCATTTTTGCCAAAAGAAAAAAAGACAAAAAAAATTCTGCAACACGACCTATGTTGCATAAAAAAACTTCTGCAACCTGACCTATGTTGAAAAAAATCTGAAACAAAACTTATGTTGCAAAAATAATCCGCAACACAACCTCTATGAAAATGTTGTTTGTACATCAAGGTCTTTGTAGCAAAGGTAGAAGAGCACGTTTAGCAACTAGATTGTGTTAAATTTGGAGGCTTGTAAGGTGGCGGATCTTTTAAAAAGATCAGCCGGCCAACGCGTAGTAGCCCCCTTAATGTCTTTGTGCCAAAGAAAAAAAAACAAAGAAGAACAAGTTAACTACCAATTCGTGTTGTCCGCGGAGGCGCAAGGAAAGCGAACGAGCAACCCTAGCCGCCTGAGGGGAACGCCCCGATCCGCAACGTAAGCACGACTTGTCATCCTAATCCCTAACCAATTGTTCGCCGGCCGGCGACAATGGCGGCGGTTCGGTGCGCGGCGAGGAGGCTCGGTGGCTCCCTGCTCCAGCGGACGCAGGCGGCGGTCGCGGAGGAGGGACGCCTGCTCGCGCCAAGCAGGCTCATGCGCTCCCGCCAGCTCTCCGGCCAGGTCTCCGGCGAGGTACGTATCTCACGGAATCAAGGGTCGATGTAGCCACCCATAATCGAATTCCGTGCAACCGAAACAGAAACATCCTGACGTACTGCTGCTTACTATCATTTAACCAACTTATTTTCCTGGTTGATCTGAGAATGACTTTTTACCGGTCCCTGCTGGCCTGCTCCAGCGATCGCAGGTGCCGGAGCGACTCCTCCTTGAGACAGGCCAGATCATGCGCTACCGCCAGCTCGCAAGCGAGGTACCTAAGCCAAAATTGACATCTTTTATCTCATGATTTATCTGCTGAAATCCGATAATTGAATTCAGTGCAAATCATATCATTAAGCAACCTTAGTTTTCCTGGCTGATCTGACTTGAAGCATTATGACTTTTTGCTCATCCGTTTAGCAAATAATTAGTTCCAACTCATCTTCTGATTGATGCATGCCAGTACAGTATGATGATTATGTGACTTCATTTATCCATATACGGCAAGTATGATTCTGTGGCTAGTTGATACACGTGCTGACGTGCACCATGCATTCTGTACATATCCAGCTGACAGACAAGACAGTAACCATTATCTATGTGTATCAATCTCCAGATATCCAAGAGACTAGAGGAGCCGTCTGCCTTGGAATCTGAGGTCCAGTGCAGGATGGAGGAGCTTTTGGCCTCGTGGCGTAAGTTGGGGGAGCTTCACAAGGAAGCAGCACCAGATGCCTTTGAGTTGTACGTACAATATACAAGATGCATTCAGATACAACAATTGATCGAATTCTTCTTTAATTTTCTGTTTGTTTGTTTGACAGGAGTTGATACATACTATATCTTATTTGACCTACCTGTCTCTACCTGCAGGTATGTGAAGGCCTATGGAAATGCGTTTAAGGCTATGGTCGGTGGAGCTGCCAGGGCGTTGTTTTGCTTCAGTCTGATTACTTCTCTTATCTTTGAGTTGTTTGGCTGCTACCAAGGAAAACCAGAGAAGACAAGATAAAGAAAAGGAGAACCAATGATGGCCTCCGAAGTTTGGCTAGCTTGCACTGTGCTATCATACATTGTGATGTTGTGTGACATGGTATCATGTTATTATATCTCTATATATATCTTTTCGGGCACATTGCCTTCATGCGTGAATGATACCGTAGCTTGACAAACATACTTGCGTAGCTTGTATGGTCACTTGCATTCGGTGTTGGTTTTATTGGCTTCTGTCTAGTGCTTTTGATGCAAAGTGATAGCGACCAACTTAGAAGTTTCACCATGTCAAAAAAACTTGGAAGTTTCACTCTGAAAACTAATTGTGTGATGTCTTGTATAGATCCTTTCACTTCATGACCGCCCTATGATTTGCCTTTTCTTGATCTATTCATTTTGCACATTCTTTTTATCAACATGAGGTCACTCATATAGCACTCTATTACAAACATGTTCAAAAACATGGGGAGACTAGTAATTAAACAAGTGCAACTTAAAAAAAGGACCCACCTTATCTTAGAGCCTCTCAATGTTAGAGATGATAAGTGGATCAAGAAACAGATTGCTGAAATTCGTCACACAATCGGGAACAAAAGGGACAAGTATGATATCCACATTGATTGCTACTACTAGGTGAAATGAAATTCTAGCGGAACCGGTTTCTACCTCGTGCATGCTCGCCGTATGTGCATGTACACAATTTGCGAATGAGTACTCTAACGATTATGTTTTCGAGCAGATATTTATTGCACTAAGACTATTTTATTCTTTGATCCCATGGCCCATCCACCCATGCTTTTACTCGTAATCTAAAATGTGTAACACTTTTAACTTTTGAACCAATGATCCAATTTAGAATATGTTTGAAGATTCATGTTCCCGACATTTATATCTTTAAAACAAGATCAAACTTGAACATATTCTGAACAAGTTTAAATTCGAAATTGATACGATAATGAAACTTATATGAAATGTGAGATGGCACGACAATGAAACCGGAGTGAACCAATAATAAAAACATGGAAAAGTGGATGTAATAACCCATAATAAAACTTATATAAAATCCGAGATGAAACACACATGGTTGAAGTGTGGAATGATATAATAATGGAAACATACAAAGGGGGTGTACGAATAAGTAATGAAAGCATGTAAATTTGTGATGATATGAAATTGATATCGTATAGAAACTATGTGAAGAGAACACTATGAAACTTATATGAAAGCTTCAAAAATAGAAAAGAAACTTGAATGAAATAGTACTGAAATCCGGAATGAAAAAGTAGCCAACCCATGTAATGGAAAAGATAATGAAACAAGTAAAAATACAACAAAACACACACGTAATAGTTTCATATAAGTTTCAATATGGTTTCACAATTGAAATTTGTTTTTTTTCAAAAAAGTTCAAAATTAATTTTGTTTTGGAGATTTTAATACGATGAATGCTAATATTCAAATGGTCTGTCAATCAGATATTTTGTTAAAAAGATATCATTGGTACAAACTATATAATGAAACTCAAAAGCCTGGGCTGGTGGGATATAACTTGTTGTGGGTTCAAAAGATGTCATACTAGTTTTGACTACAAAACATACCCACTAGTCACTTTGTTGTTGGGCCTCCTCACTAGCTGTGCACATGTCAAAACGAGAAGATAGTATGATGTACATGAGTCACACAACGCATAGTATAGCAATATATGTATGTGCACACATGCGTGCATCTAGGACCCTGCAGAAACCGGTTCCCCTAGAAAATCCTTATCCCTACTAGTAGACATATAGGAAACCCTAACACAAGGGATACGAAAACATACAACACAACGGAAGAGAATCATTGGCAATCGCAACGGCACCATCATCGAGTGTCATGTTGAGGAGGAGATCATCAACGTCAGGGAAGAAGCCTTCATTCGGGAACTCGTCGTCGTTTGCAGCCATGATAAACAAAGATCCAACTGTCACACAATGGTGCTCCCCAAAAACCTGATCATCCGCCTCCCTACAGGAGAGGCCTCTTATATACGCCTCGAAACTGACCCACTAAGGAGAGGAAAATAAACTGAGGCAGTGCGTACCTTGTGCATAGGTCCTAGCGCATCTCGGCTCAATTCGAAAAACTTCTCGTGTGCATGGCGGGTGGCGAAGGGGAGTGCGTGTATGTGCCCTTGTCAAGCTCTTACTGGTGTGTGATAAAACTCACCTTATATGTTGGTCTTCCACATCCTGCACTAGCATGCTAGGAAGAAACTTTCAACACCCTCTTTTCATGCATGAATGGGCCATATGGGCCTCTTGGATTTTTCTATCGAATTATTGGAGAAAATAAGTGGGCTAAAACTGAATAATTCCAATAATCCCCCACCACGCGTGAGGCACATGAAGTTTTCCTATGGTTCCGAAACATTGTTTATATACCAATTGTGTAGACTATTAAATTGAACTTCCATCTAGAACTCATTGCTACACTTACTCACAACTTGAATAGTAAACTACACCTTGAACTACAAGTTTTGTGCAAACAAGTTTCACACAAAGCCTTGACCAATACTTGACCGCTGAAAAATTTTCCCGTCACTAGGAGCATATATGTCATACTCTGAAGTTTCTTCATCATTTTACTAGAGAGTTACCAACTCTCACAGGCTGCTAAGTTTAAAGTCTAACTCTCAAATGTGTGTTCTTTCAAGATATTCCATAGGAAAACATCTTTGTCTCACCAATCTGCTCAGAACACATTAAGATAAATATCAACCTACCATATAGATTAGGAGAAAATTGCATCATAACGGAGAAGATTTTTAAGCCCGACCTCAACTTCAAGTGGGGACTTGTGGTTGTCTATGCACTACTAGAAAATACCTTATAGATAGATGCTTAGCATTAGCGAGGGGTATATGAGCTGCGCTACTACTAATTTGTAGCAAGGGGTATAAAACCCTCGCTACTACTAAGTCGATAGTAGTAGTGCGGCTATAAACCCACACCGCTACTAAGTGGTCTCCCCGGGACAGGTCATAGTAGGAGCGAGGGGTATAAACCCCGCGGTACTACTAAGTTGGTAGTACTAGCGTGGGATATAAACTCACACTGCTAGTAAGTGTCCACGGTGCCCCCCGGGACAGGCCATAGTAGTAGCGAGGGGTATAAACCCCGCGCTGCTACTAAGTACAGGGTTTTTTAACAGCCCTGAAATCCCCATCTCCTTCCCTGAATCCCTCCTCACTCCCGTCCCTCTCCCCCTCTCTCCATATAGGCTCTCCCATGGCGCTCCTGCCCATGCGCGACTCCTCCTCCATGGCGCCCAATGAGGCCGCCGCCTCGCGCTGGTGGTGTCCAGGAGCTCGCCAGTCTTCCCTTGCACCTCCATGGCACAACACCGGAGCACCTCACTGCCGACGACTAGCCCCGATGCTCCCTCCATCTCCTTGCTCTCTCCCTCGTTTCTCTTTTTCCTCTCCCCTCTGGTTTGAGTCACCCTCCCATCTCCATCTCCGTGCAGGTCTTCACCATGGATGACCAGGATCTCTCTGCCTTGGCCATGAAGAGGAGTCCCACACCGTCGCCTTTCTCTGCCCTGGATTCGGTCCTCTCCACCGGACGCTGCCAGATCTTACCTCTTCATGTATGTGACTTTGACGACCCCAGATGTCGCTGGATCAAAACCACTGCCTCCATTAACAACACGCATTGGATTGATTTTTTTTTGTTTTTGAAATTAATAGTAGTAGCGTGGTTCACAGACACGCGCTACAGATAATTAGTAGTAGCGTTGGTGCCACCCGCGCTACTACTACCAGTTAGCTGTAGAGAGCTAGTAGTAGAGCGGGCACCCGCACTACTAGTAGGTATTTCCCTAGTACTGATGGCTCGGTCGATCACCGTCATTCTAGGGCATTCCTGGATGAACTCCATAGAATTTTTTTTGCGTCCAATGTCTCGATTGTGGTGGGCGGCGATTTCAATCTCATCCGCCAATCGGGCGACAAAAGCAACGATTGCATCAATTTTCCCTGATTGTGGCTCTTTAATGACTGCATTGCTGACCTGGGACTACGTGAAGTTAATCTCATCGGCACTCATTCACCTGGACGAATAAGCAAGTCAATCCTAGTTTGTTCGTGCTTGATCGTGTTTTCATTTGGCCTGAGTGGGAACTTTGGTGTCCGCTTGCTTCTCTCCATGCGATCAATTACTAGGATCGGCTCCGATCACGTACATTCCACTTTTCCTATCCTCTATAGAGGACATGCCCCGCCCACTCGTTCCACTTTCGGGTTGAATCAACGCGATTTCGTGGGTGCGGTTAGGGATAGGTGGATCGCTGCTAGGGCAAACCAATATCGGTCCCTATTGTCAGCAGATTCTTGCCACTATTGTGCAAAGCGTTGGCGCCAATTTATGAAGGGCTGGTGTGCCACATTGGTCGCAACTTTTGGGATCGTAAAAATACCCTTCTCTAGAGCATTCAGGCGCTTGATATGCGGGGAGACTCCTACTGCCTATTTCCCGATGAGTGGACGCATCGATACGCCCTTGAGGACAAGGTCATGATCATATTCTCCAATGAGGAGTGCAACTGGCACCAGCGCGGTACCCAGATATGGGTTTGCAGGGGGGTACCAACATGACCTACTTCCATGTGATTGCTTACGGTCGGCATTGCCGCAACATCATCTCCCTTCCCTAGGCTGGTGATAGATTCTTGCAGCTGCGTGACAACATTCGCGAGCTTGTCGACGGCTTCTGCCAGAACCTCTTCTCCTTTCCTTGTGGGGTGGTTCAGCATTGGTCCCTCACAGATGGTTGAGTCCGCAGCTAGTCTCGGATTTAGATAATGAGGCCCTCATGTCACCTTTCTCAGAGGACGAAGTCATTGCCACTACCCAAGGGATGAACCCCAACTCAGCACCTGACACCGACGGCCTGCCGTTGTGGTTTTTTCAGGTGTTCTGAAGATCTTTTAAGGTCGAGATGATGGCCATGTTTCTAGGCCTATTATTTCGGAACCCTAGAT